TAACAGGAAAACATAGAACTTAAAATAATAATACAGAATGATTCAAGCAGTTTCCCCCAAAGAATTTTCTTGTCACAGGCTAGCCATCTGCTCTTTCATAGGATACAGAGACAACATGGGGTTTGGAGGAACCAAAGTTCCATTCCTTACAAAGAAAGATCCGCAATATAAGCACTGCGCTGCGGGCCAGGCGTCTTGAGGAGGAGCGTGTCTGTAGGTGTTTCCAGCCCAAGAGCTCCTGATCCTTCCACTCCAAAGGCTTCTGCTAGATATTTTTCCTCTGTATCATAACCCTCATGTAATACTAATAATGTTGTTGTTGATGATGCATTGGCACTTTAAGAAGATTCCTGTTGTGTGCTGAATCCTTATGTTGCAACAGTTGCACACTTTGGGGCAAAGATATGGAATCCACATTACAGTATTTTGAGTATATTTTTACAAAAGCACAGGGTGGATGAATTGCTTTTCTCTAGGTAACTGGCCGGATGTCATTTGCCATAGTATGCAATGAATGTCACATTAACACACAGGAGACAGCCTCCTGTTTTTTTAAATGTTCACAAGAAATTTTGGTGTCTCTCACTTAAGAGAGTGACCAGTGAAGAAGTACTAAAGTGAATGAATCAGTAACAAGGGGCCATTAAACATACAAAATACAGAAAACTAGAATACCTCAGTCATGTAACAAGAAACACTAAGTACAGGTTGCTACAGCTGATCATTCAAGATAAAATAATGGGGAAGTACAGAAAGGAGAGGAACGTACAGTATCAAATGAACAACTTGAAAGACTCATTTAGTTTCAACATAGTACCATTGTTCAAAACTGCTGCATCCAAAGTCAAATTAGTTGTGATGTTGTACACCTTCCAGTAGGAGTGGAACAAAAAGAAGAATCTATAGCTACAGATATGAAATTAGAATGTGTTTTTTTTTTAAATTTAAGCAGAATTACAAGTGGAAAATATTATGACTGAATGACTGGTGTTGAACTTGCTGCTGCTCAGGGGCCAGGTTTGCATTCAGAATCCTTGATTTGCCTCATTATGGGTCTTTAAACCAGGTTTAGACTGGATAGAGCTTCAAACAGAGGACACTTTCTAAGAGAACATTGTTATCTGGGAGTCTTTCCAAGAGAGGATCGTTCTTTACAAAAGAGAGAACGCATCCCCAGGATGCATGCCTTCTGCTTGGCTTAAAGAGAAAACATCTCCTTCTACTCTTAGACTGGAGCTCTCAGATCAACTCTGGAGGCAGATATTTTCATAAAGTTTCCACAGCAGCATATGTAGAAGATACACAATGTCATGGATTTAGGGGCAAATATTTATTTACTTGGTTTTAGAATAGGATTTTTGTGTCACTGTTTGTCATGTCTGGGGGGGCAGTGTGTCTGCTGGAGAACAGGACACTACCCAAGTATTTTGAATGCAGAATCCTTGTCTCTGCTTCTGCAAACGCTCAGAAAACAGCAATTCAGACCAACCCTTCCTAGCTTCTGAATTAGGTCCCGCCAAAGCTAAAAACAATATATAATTAAAACTAATTTCCATATAGTCACTGTTCTTGCCTTGCCATGGAGAGACGCTGGTAGTCTTCTGCCAGCTGTGTACTCCTGAGTGCAGATACAGAGACAAAAAGTTCCTGTTTGGCTGTGACTACACTGGTTCTTTTGGAGCAGGCTGGTGCGGTCTAGATACAGTCACCTGAGGCTAAGGAAGAAACAACATGCCATTAATGTGATCCTCACAGCCAAATGGCATATCAGACTCAAGTGGCTTTATTTAGTTAGGTTCCCTTCGCTGTCAATTACTGGTATCCTGAAGTGGCATAGTAAACAAGCCACTTCAGCAAATCAACAAATTGCACACTTCCCCTGCTCCTCTGCAGAGGGACAGGGGAAGTGAAATTATTATTATTTGCCTCTGCTAGACTATTGCTGATGCACTGGATCACTTGGATTAAAATTTATATATATAGCTTTGCCTTGTGTGTAGTATCTATCAAGAAACTGCCTGCAGTTGCAGTTTTGATTGGCACTTCACACAAAGGCAAGTAAAATATTTTAAAAATTTTATTTAAGTGATTCAGCATGTTGGTGATGGTCTAGCAGAGGCATATTATTATTATTACTATCCAAAAACACCAGGCACAGTCAAAATTATAAAGACATTGAGCAAGTTTCATCCTTAGCTTTTTGTGACTTTAAACCTATTTTCCCACCCATTTCAAACATGAGCAAACCATCACCATTTGGAATACAGAAATGGGGTATATTGCTCTCTCCCCTCCCTCTACATATGATTATCTCATAGGGTTAATTTAGTCTCTAAAGATACTAAGCGGTAGCAGGCTCTAAAAGTCCACCCAGCTATTCTGTAACCCCCTGAGGAATGAGGACATGTAATTAACTTCTCCATAAATGGTGCACCTACAGACTTAATCACACAGCCTTTATCAACTCTCACTAGGCTAGCTTTGTGTCCAGGCAGCTGCCCCTTGACACCACATTTATGATGCAAAAAAGAAATTGGCTGTTTTGGATGATACAGAATGTTCTTGTCTTTACAGAGAATCTTTCATCCTCCCTTTTCCTGTTTTCACTGTTACAGTCCATCTTTTCTGTTAAACATCATCCTCCCCCTTCCTGTTTCACACCCTCCTTTACTGTCTCTGAAAAAGACAAAAAACCTCCAGCTGTATCTGTTTGGTAGATACTGTATCTTAATCCACAGCACTACAATATCTTTCTGAGGACTAACCAGAAGGACACTGGAATGGGTGTGTGTGTGTGCGTCAAGCCTTTGCTTCTCAAACCCGGAGTGCTATGTGTAACCTGATATCTGCTCTTTGCTTCTCAAACCTGGAGTGCTATGTGTAACCTGATATCTGCTAAAAAATCTAGTAATTAGTTCGTTTTTGCAGATGCCATCTTGAATGTCTGTCTTAGCCAGGCTTCATAGCCACAATATATGGCCTAATTTTGTTATTTCTCCCCTCGCCTTGCACCCCACTTCATGTTTTTTGTATCACATAGCATGATGAAGACTTCTAAACATCTGGCTTTTGTTTTGTAGAATTTTGGTTTTAAGAAAGATGCTGCCCAAATGTGGAATTTGGGGTATTTAATAGATTGTGTTTCTGTTTACTCATTTTACATATACGTTCCTCCTATGTATCCAGTTTGGTTTATGGATATGATGGATTGTCAGAAAGATAAATAAGTAGGTGCTAGGCAGGATCAAGCCTAAACTCTCCCTAGAAATGAAAATGACAAAACTGAGACTATTGTACTTTGGATATACTTCATGAGAAAACATGCAAAACAACAACACTAGTTTGTGCCTAAGCACTGGCAATTCCTTCCAAATGTACCTGACAGACTGCATAAAAATATTGTGAACACAGGTTATCAGTGAAGCTCAAATATTTAAGGCCTATTTCCTTTGTGTTTTGTTTCATTCTAATTTGTACTCCCTGCCAAGGATTTCTATATATTTTATCAGTTTGTGTTCCTGCTTTTGATCTATGACATTACCTAGAAAAAGAAAGTCGAATAAGTAAGGCCTTTATAGTAGAGTTCACAACTGCAGACATAATGCCTATGAAATAAAAAATAAAAATACGCCTTAGAATAAAATTAAGAAAAATGCAAGTATCCCCTATGCTGCTTCCTTCTTCTCTCCTGATGAGGGTAATATTTTTTGCTCTACAATAGAGTGGGTAACCTTCTTCACAAATACAGTGGCGCCTCACTAGACGATGATAATCTGTTCCACTGAAATCACTGTTTAGCGAAATCATTGTCTAGTGAAAAGCATTTCCCTATTGGAATGCATTGAACCCTGTTTAATGCGTCCCATGGGGAAGAATCGTCGTTGTCTAGTGAAGATTCGCCATAGGAAAGCCGCTTTGCGAACTGCCGAGCAGCTGTTTAAATAGCTGTCTTGCGAAGCTTAGGTCCCGAAAACACCATTTTGCGAGCGCGGAGGGAGCTGTCAAAATCGTAGTCTAGTGAAAATCAGTTTGTGAAGCAGGGACCAAACATTGTCCAGCGAAATTCCCCCATAGGAATCACTGTTTTGCAAATCGCTATAGCGATCACAAAAAGTCAATGTCTAGTGAAAAAACTGTCATGTGGGGTAACTGTCTATCAAGGCACCACTGTAATCAGATTTCTTACAACAGTTATCTGTCCTTTCTCTGCAAGTTTGCTGGGAAGTGGGGTGAGGCCTCAGGAAAGACTACACTCTCCAACAGGAGACCTAAAAATAAAATAAAATCCTAAAGATCAGAAGAAAGGGATTGACTGATCCTGTATGTAATTCGGGAGAATAAACTGCGATATTTCTGTTTAATTCTTTCTGTGTTTTAGAGATGCCAAGCCTAACCTCCTTCCAAAAATTGATTCTAGGATGGTGCATGAACACAATTTTTTCTTCATGTTCTCATTCTGCTTGTAGGGATGGGTGAACATTTCCTTTTAGTTCATTGTGGATAAAAATTTACTCAAATTTGCACTTCCCTTATACTCAGGAGAGAAATGGAGATTTTAAAAAAACATGTGAATGTAGGGGGGAAAACACTGAAACTGACTGATCAGTCGAAACATGCCCAGGGCTTTGTTTGCTTAATTTTTTAAAAAAATGTCTGGCTTTGAAACCCTTTTATTCAGACATATTCATGTTACATGAGGATTCTGTCCTTTTTTTCTTTTAAAAGGCTCCTCATCTTTTATTGGTACATAGTGGGCCAGTATAACATAATCCTTTGCATGCAATGAATAGCTATGCCTATTGAATCCAACCACTGTAAATGCATTTTTTAAAAAGGCATAACAAGATACATAAGCTTTTTTAAAAAAGTATATTTAGAATGAAGATAACTGAGGTTTACAAATTTGAATGGGGAGAAAACTAAAATTAAAAGACTGACACTAGCTTTTTGCTGTAATCCTTCTCCTGTGGCTTCTCATTTGTGCTCTGTTGTCTCTGCAGTTTGGCAGGACTGAAGTCATCGATAATACCTTGAACCCAGACTTCGTGCGCAAGTTCATCCTTGATTACTTTTTTGAAGAAAAGCAAAACTTACGTTTTGATCTGTGAGTGACACTCTTCTGGGCATTCTCAAGACAGCGTGTGGGCGAGGAGGAGATATGGGGAGAATATAAATGTCTACTAATCTTTGCTGTGGTTTGGGCACCATTGTACTAAACTCTGCAGGAAGGTGCAGTGAAGAGCAAGTTTGTGCTTTGCCCTACCTCAAATCTGCAAGGAGAGAAGGGCCCCCCTCCAAGCACATTGAAATTCAGCTGAGTTCTTCTTATTCAGAGCTCCAAGGGCAGCAATGATTCCAATTAATCTTCCATTATTGCCTTATCAAGAGAGCGTTTTATCAGTTCTCTTTTGGAATTCTCTTAACTGTTCTGTCTTGGAAATTGGCTGCTACAATGTGGCTCCTCACTTAGCAACTCTGCTCTTTCGCTCAGTTTCATTCAAGGGGCCTTGGCCCAGCAAAAGCCTTGGTGAGCAAGAACAAAGTCATATTAAAGGGTGGGGGGAAGCCCCCAGAGAAGCTGTCTTTGCACATTTTATAGCAAACTAATCTCCAAGTATTAACACAGGAAGCTGCCTTATAATAAGTCAGATCCATCTACCAGCAGTGTCCAGAATCCTGTTCCTTAGCGTGATTTATTGCACTAGAATGTAACCTATTGAATCAATGGGGATTTGGTGAGTCAACTCCTCCATAGGTTCTGTTGATTCAAATGAGCCCACTCTGGTTACTACTTATCTAGGCTAAAGTAAGAGCACAGTTACACTATTGAAATAAATCAGGTGAGGGATCAGGGGTTTTGAATTCAGTTTAAAGTCACATGGTAGTCATGTGGTTTTTGGGTCAGTGTGTGCGATTGTTTTGGAAAGCATTTGATTTTGAAATAGCGCTAGAAGAAAATGACAAATAGGAACCCAACAGCCTCCAAACATAGCATAATATTCATAGGGAAAAAATAATGGGGCAGGGTGGAGGAGGGAAACTTAATGATGACAATCAAAAAGATAGTCACTGTAGGTATCCCCAAATAGGCTAGTATTCCCCCCCCTCCTTCCAGGCTTTCCACCTTGAGCTCCTCTCTACCTCCCCTGTTTCATTGTAGACAAAACGAAACTTCAGAAAAGGACAGCAAAACTGGCCCCCAAAGGGACATGGGGGCTTTCTCAGCATGTGCACTCCCACCAGTTGGTACTCCCTGCCACGGAATCACACTGGCTAGACCACTAAACTAAACAACAAGATTTTGGCCACTGACTCATAATTACTCTTCAAGGTTTCAAGCAATGACCTTCCCCAGCTGGGTCTGGAGATGACAGAGGTGGAACCTAGCATGTTGTGCATGTGAAGCATTTTTGTGCCCCTAAACTGTAGCCTCATATATTCATCCGTTACCCAGATGAACAAGCATTCTCTAAATTCGTTTCTATGTTTGGTATCCAGTTATTTTTAATTTCAGTAATTGATGTATGTTGCAGTCGTTTCCAAGCATTCTTTTGAAAGTCTTCTACATAAATACAGTTTCTTCCATAGACTCCACGTACCTTCTAAGGGTTTAGGGCACATTCTAGTTCCAAGGTTTGTACTAAGTTTAGAAAGGGTGATGTGGAGCCCTTCTTTTCATGCACAGTGAGCTGAGAGATGTATCCTGGAACGCACCCAACATTCGCTTGTGGCTGTTCTTATCACTGAGGCGCTTCTGATAAGGTTTCCTCAGAAAGCCACAGACATAAAATATTACTTAACTCTGGTATTTGTTATTTAGCCTATAATGGGATTTTTATTTGAAGAGTTTGATATATAACCTGAAATGGTATCTGATAATTTTATTTATTATTTATTAATTTAATAACTTGCTGAAATTATGTATTTACACTGATATAACTGAATTGGCATACATTTCAGTGGGAAATTGCCAGAAGTTAAGAAGTTAGTGTAGATAAATGGCTATATTGACTCAACTTGAGGCAATTTGCCAGTGAGATTTACACCAATGAAGTCACTCCAGCAGGCTTAACTAATAGGATTTGGGCCATTATTTATTATTTAATATTGCTAATTATTTTTAGCTAATGAAACTTACATGATATCTACTCTGGAGTCTACCAAAGCTAAAGCAATTGAGAGATCCCAGTAATTCTGAGGAAATCCAAAATTTGAATTTAAACTTTTATGGTGAAAACCTGAAGGATGAAGAAAAACCTTAATTCTGTTCTCAAGAGGAGAATCCCAGGAACCCACATAGGGAGGCAATAGGCTAACTGTCCTACCTTTGATAACCTTTAAAGTGTTTTTTTTCTATGCAGACTTGTGTAGGGCCCTGGCTTTGTGCTCTTAGATGCTGCATAGTCTTGCAGAGTGAGAAATACTAGAATACTGTTTCTTGTTTCCTTGCAGTTATGATGTGGACTCCAAGAGCCCTGACCTCTCAAAACATGTGAGTAGCCATTCTCTAAGTTCTTACCATCATTCTTTCAATTTCATTATTCTTACTCCTTGGCAGGCATATACCATTTGGGACTTTGGGGGGACTACAAATCACAGAATTCTCTATTCTGGGGATTCCACTGCTACACCCACACTTAAATTGTGCTAACCTGAAGAAAGACTGAGCTGACAGGTTTCATGGCCTAAGACAGTGGTTCCTAACCTTAGACTGGAACTCCCAGAATCCTTCACCACCAGCTGGCTGGGGCTTCTGGGAGCTGGAATCCAAGAACCCCTGGGTCACCGAGGGTTGTGAACCACTGGCCTAGGATGTAGGTGCATGAGCTCCTGGGATTTAAAGTCCAGAAAAAAGGAAGGGAAGGGAAGGGAAGAAGGAAGGCACATCCCTACTCCTCAGTCCTTATTTTTCTTATTCTTCTCTTATTTCATCATTGAGAACATAAGAAGCTGCCTAGTATTGCCTGCTTTGCTGATGGCAGTGATCCAGGACCTCAGGCAAAGGTCTGTCACATCCAGATCCTTTCCTGCTTGGAGCTTGGAGATACTAAGGACTGAGCCTGTAATTAACTTGCATACAAAGCATTCACTTTATCGCTGGACAAAGATCCCTTTCCTAGAGCTAAATCAGTTGTTAGTCCGATCTAGAGCAGGCCCACTGAATCAGTAGGACTGTGCCAAAGTCCATTGAGGATACAACAGTCTTTAGTTTGCAAGTCTGAGAAGGGCTATTAATTACAGAACCTTTTGGAGTTAATTAATTCACAGAGCCTCCATAGATTGGGAGTGACCTAGTGGCATATAACAGCAACAGCAACAGCAACAGCTCAAGTGGAGTCTAACAATTGGATTTACCCAGAAGTAATAATATATGGCGAAAATGCAGGATTTCAGTTCATTTGCAGGTCTAAGAACATCTCCTGCTTGAAATCCAGATGCCAGTCAGTGGAGTCAGTACTGACTTAGATAGATCGGCTTTCTGACTCAGTCTAAGACAGCCTTACACATTCTTGATGCACTGTGGCTTTAGGATAGCACAGTGCGATCCAATTCATAGGTGACTTGTGGGACAAGGGAGTTCCTTGCCCCTCATTCCATCCTGTGTTGCTCCCACAGTATCTATACACTGGACCCTCGACTTACAGATGGCTCGGCTTACAGACTTTTTGAGTTACAGACTTCTCTGGCCGCAAAATTTAGGTTCGACTTCCAGCCGTAGAATTGACTTACAGACCAGAAAAACAAAACAAAATGGAACAAAAACAGAACAAAAATGGACGGTTATGGCTTAATTGGTTTTCAATGCATTGTAGGTCAATGGAGACTCGACTTACAGACTTTTTGACCTGCAGCCACCGTTCCAATGTGTATTAATGCTGTAAGTAGAGGGTCCACTGTAGGTAAGAGCTATATATTGGCTGAAGGACTGACCTGTTTACAGATGTAAATGGAGCAGCATGGCACTCTTTTACATTTCAGCTTCAGAGAATATAGACTACAGTATCCTTCAAATTATGTGAAAAAACACTTGTGAAATAATATCCTAATATATTTTTGTTAGCGGTAGAAGCCTTTGATAAGTATCCTTGCTGAAATGAAGAAATTCCGACATGGCAGAATTTGGTGACTGGGTTTTCCTAGAAGCATAGAACAGCCCACTGACTTTAGCTTCAGTCTCCAGGTAAACCTGGACAGGTCAAAATGCCATAAGGTACACTTGTGCCATTAGATGAACTCATAATCAATGTTTCATATGAGTTTTCTTCAACAGGATTTCCTCGGCCAGACATTCTGCACTCTGGGTGAGATTGTAGGATCACCAGGAAGCCGCCTGGAGAAACCCTTAATGTGAGTACCCAGCTCCTACGTGTGCTGATAGTCTTTATGCCAGCTGTAACTTGAGATTCACAGGATCTAGCCTTGCGTAGCTTGGCTCTGTTTTGCTGTGTAGGCTAGCAAAATGTAAAGTAGTCGGAGAGAACGTTGTGAACTGAATCACAGCTGATCGTAATGGAATCCTGAAAATGATATTCCCAGTTGAAATTCTAGAGAGGTTTCTTACTCAGTTCTCAGTGGAAAGAATAAAACTGCAAGGCGGTGATGGTGTAGCTGATTGACACCTTTTTTTTTATTCCTGAACCTGTCAAATCATTACTTGCTGCAAAATTATATCAATTACATACCAGTCTAATTATCATGATTCACCGCCCCCACCTCCAGGTCCCTTGAAGTTGTAATTTGGTAAGAGTTCTATTAAGGATCCATTAAATTTCTCCTTCTACCCAACATACAGTGGCGGGAGGGACTGGTAAAGTGGGTTAAGTCTGCAGTGTATATGTACTTGTTGCAGAAATGGGAAAACTTGAATTTGTGGACTAAACCAGAGGTCCCCAACCCCTGGTCTGTGGCCCGGTGCCAGTCCGTGGCCTGAGCTGGACTGGGCTGCCGAGACAGACCTCCCGCCCCACCCACCCTCACACTCACCCCTGCACAGCCCATTTGCGCCTGTGTGCGTGCTCCAGCATGTCCGTGTGAGTGCTGCACCGCCATTTGTGCATGCTCATGAGTGCGTGCGTGACCAGACAAGCGGCATGCCGCTGTTTGCGCATGTGCATGAGCATGCACGTGCTTGTGCAAAAGAGAGAGCACGTTTGTTCGTTCATGCGCACAAGCAGGGGGGTACCCCACCTGCCCCAGCCAGTCCACAAACTGAAAAAGGTTGGGGACTGCTGCGCTAAACCATAACTATGATAAGCCACTAGCCAGGTTGGGTCATTTCGCTTATCAGGAAGTTTGGAAGGGAAGGGCCAGCCAGCAGTATGCCATTGCCCAGGAGATGCCACAGTGTACTTGCAATGGTTTCCACTCTTTGAGGAGGCGCCTTCTATGTACCCAGTGCATACTGGGGAGTGAGAAAGTAGATTTTGGAAAAATTTATTTTTTTGACAATAGAGTTCCCAAAACATGCTAGCCAATATGGTCACTGGCTGTGCTAGCTAGGTATTTGAGAGCTCAAATTCAAAAAAATAACTTCTGTTTTTGTAGAGAAAGAATATACTGTATTTTTCTCTACAGGATATCTGTACTTCTTCCCCTTTCTTTGCAAGAAGCTTTGTGTCATGAAGTTTTACCAGGGTCACAATGCCCTCTTAAGGTTATCCCGGTTGATCTCCCAACTGGATATGGTAGCCTTTATACAGGTATTGCAGCATTTTTTTCTTCTTGCCAACAAAACCAGACAAATTGCAAGTTAGTGCAGATCACAGATTAATTATAAAGAAAATGCTACTGTGGGACACATTTAATGGGTTTGGGCATAGTAGGAAATTTGATAAATAGTTTGAGAAAATCTCTCTTTCGTTCAAAAGAAGTATGGTGGTACTCATTGATGTGTATTCATTGATGAATTTGCTACCTGATGCTAACCACTAGGTGTTGAGCTTCCTTCCCACCGGCATCATGTGCATCATGTCCTGTGCCATATATTTTGATGTTACAAGACTCTGCACTTCCTCTCATGTCATGGCAGTAACTGTAAAAGGAAAGCAAAGCGTGCTGCTTATATACTGCCCCATAGTGCTTCTGAGCGGTTTACAAATTAATTATGCAGGCTACACATTCCCCCCCCCACGAGCAGAGTACTCATTTTACCGACCTCAGAAGGATAGAAGGCTGAGTCAACCTTGAGCCTGCTACCTGGGATTGAACCCCAGGTCGTGAGCACAGTTTTGTCTGCAGTACAGTGGTTTAACCACTGTGCCACGAGGCTCTTCCTGGGTGGAGAAATGCAAAACTTCATGGATGAATGGTATGGGATATGTTCTATTAGTATGCATGGGAAGGGAAATGCAACGGACCTCGGCCTTCAGCTCTAGACATATTTAATGGAAAATGAGTTTCACTGCAACCAACAGGATGTATTTTTGAATAAATGTGGTTAGGATTAGGTACTAAATCCTCCAATGGGTAGACTTTTCCTTCTGTCAAGAGAGAGAAGGAGAGATTTTTTTTCAAGCTGTTAATCATATTTTCTACTATGCCCAGAACCCATTAATGTACCCAACAGTAGATTTGTTTCTTAATTAATCTATGATCTCCACTCACCTACATTGCCTGGTTTTACTTGTTTTTCCTTTAATGTTTGTAGAAAAACAAGTGTGATATTTCAGAATTTTCCCCTCTGGCTGTAATACTTCTACATATGTCTTTATTGAATTTCCTCTTATTGTTTTTTTTGTCCAACTCTCTGGTTCCTCAAAATTACTTTCAGTGCTGCTGATTCATGCAACCAGACAGATTTTCAGCACTCACAGCTTTATATTTCTGACAGTTCAGTGCACCATACAAATCCTTGTATGACGGCATTCCCATGTGAGGATGAACTGCGGTTTCTAATCATGGAAACACCTTGCAGACAGCCTTGGGTTTATACAACCTACTCCATGCCTCACCTTTGCACATGACATAAGGAAATTTGAAGCTTCCGTCTGTAGTTTGTAACATATAGTTTACCATTTCTTCTAACAGTGGTGAACTATCATGGTCACTTATTATGCCTGTAGGGCAGACTATAATTATAGTAAATGAATACATGTACTGTACAGTGTGATAGAGTAGCGGGAAGGATGTCAGAGAACGACTCTGGAGAATTGAGTTCTTTTTCTGCCTTGGCTGTGGAAACTCAGTGAGGTGGAGGTGTTAAACTGTTCCTTGACCATATGACATACCTTGAAAATCCCACTAGAGTCACCATAAATGGGAAGTGACTTGACAGTACATAACAACAAATATACAAAACCTCAAAGACAGTGTCGTGCAGTGGGTACAGTGTTGGTCTGGCACCTGGGAGATCCAGGTTCAAGATCCCATTGTGTCAAGAGTATCACTTGCTAACCTTGGACTGGTCTCACTGTCTCCGTCTCTGGGTGTGCTCTTTTGTCTTTCTGGACTGCAGTTCCCAGAATCCTCCAAGAATTCCAAGAACTTCAGCCGATAAACCCAAATCAGCACATTTGTACATTTTGTCCTTCTAGGGAAGGACTTTGAGGGGAGGAGTTTGCCTCTGCCACTGGCCTCCCAAGTCTCTAGTTCCTGTTGTTGATTTATAAAAACAAAATGAAGCTGCTGTGGTGCTTCCTGGGATGGGCATCGAGACGGCAACTTCCAGGAAGCACCACAGCAGCTTTATTTTGTTTTTACAGATTGACAACAGGAAGTAAAGGTTGGGAAGGACGATGGTTTAGCTTAAAAAATTACATCAAATCTAAAACCCTTCTCTAGAAGAGTGAATCCTGCAGGTATGCTGATTTGGGTTTGTGGACTTCTGGGGTTTGAAGTCTAAAACCGTGAAAGAGTTCACCCATCATCTCCGTCTTGCTCTGGCTTTCATACTCAGCCTGACCTACCTCCCAGGGTTCTTGTGAAGGACAAAGTGAGAAAGAAAAGACTCATTGACAACATCTTGAGCTCAGTGAAGGGAAAAAGAGAGAAACGTGACAGACAAATAAAACAAAGGACAAAGTGAGAAAGAGAAGACTCATTGACAACATCTTGTGCTCAGTGAAGGGAAAAAGAGAGAGAGAAACGTGACAGACAAATAAAACAAATTGAGGAAGGCAACCTGTCAGGTGCCATCCCTTTCCTCACAGAGCTTATGGTGAGAAGCTAGTGAAGGAAATGAGGCCTCCCCCCACCCCACTACCCAGGCAGAACATTCCCCCTCTCCAGTGACTGGAGGGAAACATCCTTGTGTGACAACCTGCCTGGCCACCCTGTGAACCGGATTGATATTTGGTTGCCTCGTGGGGCTGGATTGGAATTTCAGGCTTGGTTCCCTTTATTGGCGAATTGAATAAAAGGTGGCCAGGTAATTTTTGCCTATCCCGTTCTGACCCTCATGGGACATGATGGGCAGATCGGGGCAGTGTCGTGTTTAAACAGGTCACAACCTGGCAGATCGTGCAGAAAGAGGGAGATAGTGGTGAGCCCCACAGGGTGCCATCTGGTGATCAGGTACCCTCAACAAGTACCACAAATCGTGGGGTTCAGGTACACAAGCAGGGATAGCCTTCTGAGGCAGCCTCAGGGGCAACCAGCCTCAATTCATGAGAAACAAGGGGGAGATGAGTGGAGGAGGTCTCTTGAGGTTTGAGCAAGGCTGGCCATGTACAGCACCCCTCCGGAGCAGGGAGCTCCCCCGACCTGGACTGGAGAGGGGCCAGAATGGTTCACCTGCTCCTGTTCCTAGATTTGCTGCGTTACCTTAAACCCCACCTCAGCTCAGGGATTTAAATAGTCAGTGAAGTTGTGGCCCAGGTTTGAACCCAGTTCTTGCATCTTTCCTCTTTATTTACTGGTTGAGAGGTGGGTGGGTGAGGGAAATGCTGAACTTGGATAATGCAGGTTATAGACATGCTGCGCTTCCTGCTCCCAGCAGCCGTGTCTTTCCTCATTGCCTGCGGGAACAGCGCCCAGAGCTCCAGGAAGGCAGCAGGTGCTGAGAGTCCTCTTGCGATCGGAAGTAATAATTGGAAATGAAGATAGAAAAAGTGTGTGTGTGTGTGAGAGAGGGGGGGGGATTTGTTCTTCTGTCTTTTATAAAGCTGCTTATTAATTCAAAAGCACCATGGGAAGGTAAAGGCAAGGAAGAAGGCAGTAGGCACAAGTGGGTGGGGACATTACAAAAGCCCACTGTGGAATTAATTATCATTGCTGTTGGAAGTAAGTTGGAACTCGTGCTTTCTCCTTAGAGAAGCAGCAGGTACAAAGTGCCAATCCTGAATGAATACAATGAAACATAAAGGGAGGCAGATTTCTAATGATTATTTATATGGTGTGCAGTCCTTCTA